GGAGGGTGGAGCTGCTGGGCCTTCCTGTTGACCACTGTCTTGCAAAAAGTGCAGAAGGGGGAGGAGTGGCTTTAGTCATCCGCTGTCATTCCTTTCACTGGGTCCTTCTGTCTCATCTCATCCAGCTGTCTCTTCGTCTCTTCTTCCATCCTTCGAATGTCATCCATAGTCAGGTCAACCCACTTATCAAGCCAACAGAACAGCTGCCTGTGGAAGTTTGTAAACAGACGCTTCTCTTGCTTATGTATAAAGTTTTCCACTTTGTTCTGCAGGCCCCACCACTTGAACTTGACAGTAACCAGTTTGTATGCACACATGTACGGGCAGTCTTTCTGATTTACAAGTTCTTGCTTCCAATTGGGACCCAAGGGTCCTCGGCCTGTTTTGATAGACTTAAATTTTGCTGGGTCTTCCTCTGCCTTGTAATCCTTGCTAAGTACTTGGCTTCGATCTGCAATGTCTATATATATGGCTTCCACATGTTTCCAAGCCTCAGGCTCCAGTTTGTGCACATTCTCCTGGGTGCCAAGATCTGGTTTGTGCCAGGTTTCAATTTTAATCAGAAAGTCTTCTTTCATGTATTCATTTGTAATAACTGTTCTGCAATAAGGGTAGGCATTCCATGCTTTTTCATGTATATTCAGGGCTCCCTCCGGGGCCAGCATTCGAACAAATGTGGGCACTTTGCTCTGTAAGTGGTAGATCTTGTGCGTGTACTGGCCTTTCTCGCCGTCCTTTTCATAGGGCTCATTCACCAGGACCTCCACACCTTCACCACCACCCGTTTCATTTTTGCTGGCCTCAGCCACAGAATACAGCTGCCCTACTTGATACTCTTCTACAGACACAGGTAGGATGACTCGATACTCCTTGAGCAGCACCATGTCGCTTCGCGGCTCGGCGGCTGCTCGCTGCCCGCCCAGCCTCCCGCCCGCTTCCCAGCGGCCGCTCTCCCCGTGTCCCGGCCCGGCTGCCTGTGCGCCTTCGTTGTTGTCTGCTCTGTCCCCGCCGCTCTCGCTGCGGTCGCCGCGCCGGCTCCTGCCGCCCCTGCCTCGCCGCCTTCCGCGCCGCTGCCCGGTCACCTTATCTTTGATAAAGGAAGCAAGAATATCCAAGGGAGAAAAGTTAGCCACTTCAATAAGCCATGCTGGGAAAACTGGACAGATACAGGTAAAAGAATGAAATTAGAACACTTCCTAACACCATACACAAAAATAAACTCAAAATGGATTAAAGACCTAAATGTAAGGCCAGACACTATCAAACTCTTAGAGGAAAACGTATGCAGGACACTCTATGACATAAATCACAGCAAGAACGTTTTTGACCCACCACCTAGAGAAATGGAAATAAAAACAAAAATAAACAAATGGGACCTAATGAAACCTAAAAGCTTTTGCACAGCAAAGAAAACCATAAACAAGATGAAAAGACAACCATCAGAATGGGAGAGAATATTTACAAATGGAGCAGCTGACAAAGGATTAATCTCCAAAATATACAATATTTTGTATTGAGCTCATGCAGCTCAATATCAAAAAAACAGATAATCCAATCCAAAAATGGGCAGAAAACCTAGACATTTCTCTAAAGAAGGTATACAGATTGCCAACAAACACATGAAAGGATGGTCAACGTCACTAATTATTAGAGAAGTGCAAATCAAAACTACAATGAGGTATCACCTCACACCAGTCAGAATGGCCATCATCAAAAAATCTACAAACAATAAATGCTGGAGAGGGTGTGGAGAAAAGGGAACCCTCTTGCACTGTTGGTGGGAATGTAAACTTGATACAGCCACTATGGAGAGCAGTATGGAGGTTCCTTAAAAAACTAAAAATAGAACTACCATATGACACAGGATTTCCATTACTGGTCATATACCCTAAGAAAACCATAATTCAAAAAGAGTCATGTACCACAATGTTCATTGCAGCACTATTTACAATAGCCAGGTCATGGAAGCAACCTAGCAATCCATCAACAGATGAATGGATAAAGAAGATGTGGCCCATATATACAAAGGAATATTACTCAGCCATAAAAAGAAATGCAATTGAGTTATTTGTAGTGAGGTGGATGGACCCAGAGCCTGTCATACAGAGTGAAGTAAGTCAGGAAGAGGAAAAGAAATACCATATGCTAACACATATATATGGAATCTTAAAAAACAAAAAAAAGGTTCTGAAGAACCTAGGGACAGGACAGGAATAAAGACGCAGACGTAGAGAATGGACTTGAGGACACAGGGAGGGAGAAGGGTAAGCTGGGACGAAATGAGAGAGTGGCATGGACATATATCCTACCAAATATAAAATAGATAGCTAGTGGGAAGCAACCACATAGCACAGGGAGATCAGCTCGGTGCTTTGTGACCACCTAGAGGGGTGTGATAGGGAGTGTGGGAGAGAGACACAAGAGGGAGGGGATATGGGGATATATGTATACGTGTAGCTGATTCACTTTGTTATAAAGCAGAAACTAACACAACAATGTAAAGCAATTATACTTCAATAAAGATGTTTAAAAAAAAAAACATTAAGCTAAGTGCCCTGAAAGGATTTAAAAGCAATATTCATTTCTGAACCTCACTGAAGCTCTGCAGCCTAATTAGGGAGAATCACAGGCTCATCCAAACTTATATTCAAGGATCTTAGAGAGCATCTAATCTAATGTATTTGCTCTACACAAGAGGAAGCCAAAGCGTGAATTCACATAGTGCGTTGCCAGAAGCAACACAGCCAGCGAGGAGCAGTCAGTCTAGAAATAGGATCTTCTGGCTCGTATTCAACAAGGTGACATGCATTCTTAACCTTTCCATGGCATTTAGATGTACATTTGTCATGAATTAAAAGCATTATGGGATACAAAGATGGTGACACATGGCCTCTCCCTGTTCACCCTTTAGTCGGGAAGAAAACAACATAACAAGTAATCATAATACAATGCAAGACTAGAAGAAGGAAAGGGGGAGCTGGATTAGTGAGAGCATTTTTTAGGATTCTTGGCTGCTAGTGGGCTTAACTCAACCTGATCTACTTAGGCCAAAAGGAGCTGTAAATCTTTGAACGCGCCAGGTAATTTTCATGTTCAAATGCATTGTCTTGGAATGCTTTCTCCCGTTCAATATTTCTGGCCAAGTCTTCCCAGAGCAGCAGTCATCTACCCCACAAAGGCTTCTCTTTATCTCTCCCCACTTCCCAAAGGCAAGGGGCTGAGCCCTTCTGTTGCCATTTTTCAGTCCTCAGTCTTCCATAATTGATAGATTTTCTTTCTCCTCCACCAGTTTATGAGTTCTTCCAGAACAGAAACAGTCTTGTTTATCTCTGAAATCCAGCACCTAACCCTTAGCAGACAAAATAAACTTTCATCAGATGCATTGTAAATAAGTGGTAGATGAATAATTTTTTTTTAAATGTTGGCAGGGCCTTCTTTTTTTTTTTTAATTGAGGTATAGTTGATTTACAATGTTGTGTTAGTTTCAGGTATACAGCAAAGTGATTCAGTTTTATATATATATATATATACATTCTTTTTCAGATTCCTTTCCCTTATAGGTTACTACAAAATATTGAGTATAGTTCCCTGTGCTAAACAGTGGGTCCTTGTTGGTAATCTATTTTATATATAGTAGTGTGCATTATGTTCATCCCAAACTCCTAATTTATCCCTTCCCCCACCTTTCCCCTTTGGTAACCATATGTTTTTTTCTATGTCTGTGGGTCTACTTCTGTCTTGTATATAAGTTCATTTGTATCTTTTTTTAATTCCACATATAAGCAATATCATATGATATTTGTCTTTCTCTGTGTGACTTACTTCACTTAGTATGATAATCTCTAGGTCCATCCATGTTGCTGCATTCATTTTTTATGGCTGAGTAATATTCTGTTGTATAAATATATCACATCTTTATTGAAAAAAAGAATAAGGAGAGAGGAATACTTAGAAGGTATATTAAACTTTTAATTCTATGAAAATAAGATTACTACTAATTTCTAGTTTGTAACAGATACACATTATCTAAAATTACATAACTCAAAACACTGACCACCAATAGCTGATTAATTCATTTAAATACTTCTTTTTTCTACTATTTTGCTAAGTTTCTTACACACTTCTAGGAATTATGTAAGGCTAGCATTAAAAAATGTATTTTGAAAACTTCCAAAAGGCAAAATACTGTAAAATAATATAAGGCTTTTCATGTCACTCCCCTTCCAAAAAAGAACTTCTTTGAACATTTTTTACATTTGTTGTTATAATAATGTACGTTTTCGTTATGTGGAATTTTAAAAACATAGGAAGCCCCAATAGGTATTTTATATTTCCATGATGCAAAAGCTTTTAAATAGCAGTGGGAGCTGTCTAAATATTTACTGAAGAATAAATTTGCTGATTAAAAAATAATTGTTTCCTTTCATTTTTATTATTTTCTTTAGGTTAAAGGATCAAAGATTTATTCAATCAACTGGACACATGCTAAGAGTTTTATAAAAAATTTTAAATACATTCTTTTCCACCTTCTTGATTTCCCTTTAACTAGACTCATGAGGACAAAATGTTACCAAGTTGACTAATCACTTGGATTGTTACTGACTGGAGTCACTGTTAATTTCTAAAGCTGAAACTAAAATTATGGAAAATATGATTTTCTTCACGCACCCAGCAGTTTGCCATATAAGGCAAGTTACCACATTTTCATTATTCCAAGGTTTATGAACATGGACAATATTAATTATAAATACCAAACCAATTATTTTGGAAACATTTTCGGTTATATACTAGCTGAGGACTCTTTACTTCCTTCATACATATCTCCTAAGAAGCTGCTTAATAAATAAAGGGGCAATATAGAATCAAAGATTTCAGAAAACAAAACCAGCAAAACTAGAAGCTTCTTGTTCCTGCACTGTTTGTTTCATTGGTTATTACTCCTAATTTTAGAAGTTTAAGTCTCATGAAGCATGCTATTTTTTGTAAAGTACCAAAAAATGGAATAACAGTTTTTCTCTTAATTTTGCAAGACTGCAATAAAAAAAAAACAAGGGAAACCCATTAGCTCAGCAAATAGAAGCATCATTCTCTGTACTTAGCATCTTTGGTGATGGTGGGAATATATGCCTCTCAGAGTAGAAAGAAATATTTAATGAGATAATCTATTTTCTTTCTTATTGGAAAACCAATCTTTCAGGCTGGAACAGGTTTTACTTGTTAACCTGCTTTGTTTTTTAAACAAACCAGCATAGTGTATTTTTATATTCATATTTGGACAGCCTTTTAAAATTTGAAATTTTTTATACATAAATTCAGCACAAATAATACCTCATTTGAGTGGTAGGAGATGGAAACTGGAAGTCAAATAATTTGGATTGAATTAATTTTCTTTTATCGATCATCAGGATGATTGCTATTCACATCACAAGAAAAGTATTATCTATCTAGCACTTCTAAACTAATATCTAAGCAAGGCATCAGTCTAAGAAGGTTAGAGGCTCTTAGTGGTAGAAGAAATCCTAGAGATTAGCAAATACAGCCTCCACCATAACGTTTCCCTGTGCATGATGCATGCACCACTTGGATCAGAATCCACTGAGGTGCATAGTAAAAAGGCACACCCCGTACCAGACCTGCTGAAGTACAGTCTACTCCATCAGCATGCTCTCTAACATTTGAGAACAAATCTAAATATTTTTCACATGTTAGCTCTTCAAATATTAAAGAATGATACTGTCTTGCTGCTGAAGTATTTTTTTCCTAAATATCCTGTGTCCAAGTATAGTTAAATATCTGACAGAAAATATGCAGATGACCCCTATTTCTCAAATCAGATTTAAAACGGAAGAAAGAGATTAGTCTCAGCAGTTATTAGTCAGAATTTACCAATCCTTGTTTCTAAGGAGACTAAATCTAAAATTAGATACTGCATTCAAAACACTTAGCCCAGTGTCTGATGCACAAGTCCAAGCAGTAGTGATGGTGGCGGCTGAAAAGGTGGCAGTGGTCGTGGAGGTGATGGTGTTACTGTAGTGCTCTGCAGACTCACTGCTGCCTGCCTGCCTTCCT